ACACAAAAACAGTTTTCAGTGAAAGAGGAGCGGCTTGTGTTCTGCAGTTTAACTTTTGGATTATGGAGATGGACAAGAGCCGCATGTGCTCTTAATGTATTGATTAAACAGCCAAAAGAAAATCGATTTCATTAATGTATTATTGATTTTTATTTCATATCCATTTTCATTCTGCTTGTACTAGATGGAAAACGATCAAAGTGTGTTTGATATTTGGTTTAGATTTAGATTCTGCTCAAATGTTCCCAGCTGTATAAGTGGATTATTTTATGAAATGCATTTCAGAAGTGTCTCTGTAAATCTCTTTTTTTCTCTATAACCCTTTCACATTTTTACATTAAACTTTAACATTAAACTCAGAGATATGTCAAGATTTCTTAAATGACAGAACGAATTGAAACACTCTCTGCTATATGTTTACATATCTTTCCAATTATACATCCTCCTTTCCTCTCTAAAATTGTTGGTGACAAAGAATATAACAAAAATCTTTGTATTGAAACACTCTCAGAGGCAGGACAACATGAACCAACCCGATCTCAGACATATTTCAAATTTTCAAAGATGAAACTTGACATTTCCCAACATTGGAAAAGAATTCAGAACAGAAGAATCACGAACAACTAGTAAATACAGAGAGAGGAAACAGCAACAAGCTCCAGTGCCACAAAGATCAAAATAAAGTGTGGAGACGGCCATTTAAACAAGAAAACTATGAGACCAGGACCTCCAGAACCTCCCTGTTTATTTACAACAATATCCTGCATGTAAAAATGAAAAATGAAATATTCCCCTTCACCCACTTCATCATCAGATCTGGTGATGTTCCTTAAACCCAAGAAGTTTCAATTTGCTGGACGCAGATGAAGCCAGAGATTTTATTCTACCTGACAGCGCCTCTTGTCTTATTCTGATAAACGCACCTCCTATTACTTTTCATTTGTGTCATGTTTTAATTAAATGCTGTGTATATTTGTGTAGATTGTATGTTTTTTTTTATAACTCGTTTTTCTCTCCAACTGTTAAAAATTGTAACATCAGTAGCCTACATACATACATATATTTATTTATTTGTTTGTGTGTTTTTTTTTACATTGGTTTTGGGTTGAGGATTGCTGGGGAAAGATTTTCTAAATACGCAAGGGCGGTTATTTTCATGCTGTAACTTTACGCTTTGTACACGCGCAACTACCCTGCAAAAATTTAACTAAAAAAAGAAATTGAGTCATCTGTAATTTCATTTGCCCCTTATTAAGGCATTTGATATATAAAAAAAAATCAACATCTATTTCTTTGTGAAGATTCTCAGTCATCCACGTGCCGACGGTTATTCCAAGAAAAAGTTTGAATCAAGAATAACTGGTTGTACATACTTGACGAGTTTCCATTTCTAATTTTCAGTTCCAATAGTCTTCATCATCAGGATTGAAGAAGAACTGAAGAAGTCATCTACGAGCTGAAAAAGCCTCTTCGATGACAGTTTAATATTTTCACATCTCAGTTAAATCGCCCTCTATTCAACCTTTCTTGGAGCGATAAAGCTGAAGCTCTGAACCAAAAGAAAGAGCAAAAAGCCATGACTCCATAAACTAAAATACAAATACGGTGAAAAAAATATTTGCCTTTTTTCTGGATCTTGACCTTAAACCATTGAACACAGTGAAACTATATGTAGATCTTAAGATGAATGAATAATGGGTGTCACACGTGAAAAGGATTTACATTTCCTTACTGCCACCTACTGGTAGAAGGTTGTTGTAGACAGATCCTGCAGTGAATCACAGGGTTCCAGCAATCTGATTATGACTGGGTGGAACTCACTGCACCCACAGACTTAACCTCTTACAGTGAACAGACACGAAATGGACTTTCTCATAGCTGACGATTTGCATCGTCATAGTAGGTGAAGCACACTTGATCCTGACAACATAAATGGTGATGGCTCTGTTGTGTTCAAATGTACCAGTAAACCATGTGACAGGGTCTAGAATCATCAGGAACCCTGACAATACTATGATTGAAATAGATTGCTGCTGTTGTTCTTGTTTTGGATATCAGTGATCACTGTTTGAGTCCATGTCAGAGATACAACATAATGTGCCAAACATGTAGTCACCAGCTATGTATGTGTGTTGATCATTAGCATTGGTTACATTATCAATATCAATTAATCTACCTGTTATTTTCTTGATTAATTGTTTTGTCTAGATAAGATATATGATAACATAGATATTTATGTATACATGGTCATTTTTGTTTCCCTGTTGATCTCACTACATGACTAGGTCTGTTTGAACAAAAATATACTGCAAAAAAAAGTTAAAGTTAAACTTTTCTTATGTAAAATACCCCAAAATAAACTTAGACCACCAAACCCATAACCACACATTATCCCATTAAGGTGATCAGATTATGACTTGGCAGGGTATGAATAGGACTGTCCACATCGTAGGTGGAGGAAACGAGAGGAAGCAAGTGAGGCACATTCTTACATCCTGCTGCCCATTAGTGAAATAATTAGGACATTGAAAAAGATACTTGTGATTTCTGGGAGGCCTTGAAGCTCCACTTCACTGAAATGAACGTTTTAGACCAAATAAATCTCAATCCTGTGCTGCTGCCATTGGAAGTACCTTGTGGCTCATGTGGAGGAGTGTAATGCAGATAAATTCACTCTCTGACGTCGAAGAGTGATGACCAGAGACAGCTACTTATATTTAGTACTTTACTGTGTATTCTAGTACTTTATGTGTATCATTTACTGAGGGAGTATGGACAGTTTTTAGTACATTTCATGTATTGTTCGTGTCTGTTTTATTGCTGCTTGGCCCTATGTGCAATGTCCTTGACATGCTGCTGTTACACAATAATTCCCCAAATGGGATCAATAAAGTGTATATCTATGTATCTATCTATCTCTCTACCTCTCTCTCTATCTATCTATTTGCTTGGCAATGTAATATCAGCGTAAGAATTGATCTCATAACTCTCATAAAACTACAGCCGTCTGGAACAATCAAAACAAATAGAAACTAAATATTTTCACTTCAAAATGTGGAAAAATGAACTGAAGTATTTCAGAAAGAAAAATGAAACTTGCTTCAGCAGATTTTCTTTAAACGTGTGTGTGCAGTGAATTATTCAAACAATTTAAAGCATCAAGGTTTTTTTCATTCTTCTTTAATTGAACATGATAATCATGTGTCAATGTGAAGTGCGTGCAGTAGTACCGGTGCCGGCCACTAGAGGCTCTGTCTCGCTGCCGCTCTGCTCCCGTGTTGTTGTGGTTAGCTGGATGCTAGTCCACGCTTGCTTCGCTGTAGCCGGCTGTAGCGGTGATGTCTCTCCCATGAGGCCGGTGAGCAAACTTGTGTTCTGTGGTTAAACACCGACCGAAGCACCGAGGCCATGGCCGGGGTTTTCGACATCGATTTGGACCAACCGGACGAGAACGTCTCCGACGACGAGCTGGAGGACGGGGTGAGTTCACTGCTAACACCGCCTCTGTTAGCTAGCTAGCACCGAGCAACTCTGAGGCCTGCGCTGCTGGCTACTGTGTTCGCGTATCCATTATCGGACACGTCCACTTTCCCGCGGAATTTACTAGCTGCCTTTTAAACAGTTAATATGTGGAGTTCTAATACATTATCATCGCGTTTTCATAGTTTTAACTACGACCTGTTGCAGGAATCCCATGTCGTTGCACACATCGGACAAATCCATCCTCAGAGTCCGAAGTGTGTCGGGCAGACAGGTTGCCGGGGCTCCACCTGCTGAAGTTAGCATGAACACCGCTCAGCGGCATGGGACGATACAAACACCACTGAGCTGGTGGATGACGGAGACAACACCCAGTGAAGCCGCTTTAATAAAAGACACTGAACATTAACCAGAAAGACATTCACGACTAATGCTTCGGGCGTCGCCGCATGTCCGATAATGGAGTCGTGCATGTAGCGTATCCGTGCCCTGCGTCGGCATTTGTCTGTTGTAGCGGTGTGCAGCAGATTTCGTGATTTCACACGTGGCTGCGGTTTGTCAACTCGTCAGACTGTGTTAGTTAATGGACTTTAAATGAAGAGACAGTGAAACAGAGCAACAACACGCTGTGGTCGTGGCGATGCTAACGGGACAGTGGCTGGGAGCTGGAGCAGCACACTGTGCATTAGCTTTGTCACCCATCACCCAACGTCAAGTTACTCACTGAGACGAGTTTGTGGTTTAAATACAACTTCGGTCACTGGTTGATTCATTATAACATTTTCTCAAGTGAATATTGTTTCTAAGTTGTTAATAAAAGAAAGCGTTCGTTGAACTAGCTGTGTGATAAGTTAGTTAGCTGTGCATGTTAAAGGTCCAGTGTGTTTGATTGAGGTGAAAGGGATCTAATGGCAGGACTTGATTTAAAATAATCCTAGTGATCTTTTCACTAGTGTGTAATGGTGTAAACTGTACTGATTTTGGTTTTCTCTCCCCTATGATGGGCTCTTTATATTTAAATACTTTAACACTATATTTCCATCAGGAGCGGGTCCTCTCTATGGAGGCCGCCATTTTTTTTTACAGTAGTCCAGATGGGGTCAAACTAAACACCTTTTGGGTTTTGAGAGGTATTCAGGTGCAACATACAACTTCACCACTATGTGTCACTAAATTCTACACACTGAACCTTTAAAACTACTACTATAATGTCTGGCTAGCACATAAACAAATATAAATAATACTTCTCACTTGTTACCAACAATACGCCTCCTGCTGAGCTTGTCTGTCCTGTTGTTTTCAGGCTCAGCTCAGTGAATACATGGACCAGTGCAGTAGCTTTGAATTGTGAGTATAATCCTGTAAATATCACAGTTTAACTAACGGAACCATGTCAAACATTTTCATTTGGATGTCTGGAATTCATTTCTGAAGACTTGTGCTGTGTTAGAGCTAAAATGATTGGTAGATTAATCAATTAGTTAATTGTTAATATGTTTTTTTCCTGTCTTTCAGCTTGAGAGCAGGACTTGTTGATTTGATGTTCAGATTTAGTCGTACTTTCCCTGAAAACCTGTGCTCTCACTGAGATAGCCCCTGCTTCCAGTTTGCTCTGCTTGTGCTCAAACTGTGCACTTGCTTAAACAGATTTCCTGCACTCCAGCTTCGGCTCTTCTCCTCGTGCTCACTTCGCTTCTGTGTGTGCATGAAAAGTCTGTTCTTGCATTTCCTCTATGCTCTTGGATTTTAATGGCTATTAGAGTGCGAGCGCAGGGTATTGAGTAAAAGTGTTCTAATAGCAAACAGTAAACTTCTGCGTTTAAACTTAAAGACCACACTCTTGAATAAACGTAGGGGAAGCCCCCCGTAAATGATGCAAAATAAATCACTATTTTCTTTCACAATCATCCCTTGAAAAAACTCCATAGTATTATTCAGGTATTTTGTCAGATAATGAATATAATGGTTTGCTACAGACGTATTTCATAGCATTTGTGGTATTGTTTTTTTTAAATACACACTCCGTAAAGGTAATAAATATATACAGTGTTGTACAGTGGTCCCAGTACAATGAGTACATTTGTTATTTTTCTCTACTCCCTCATTCAGGTTTGTGCTTAAACGTGTCACCCACCCTCACGTGCACAGTAATAACAGATATTATCTTTAAAGAGTCTCTTAAAGCAAGATATAATTAGATGGACCACCATTCTCTAATCTGGATCTATTTGATGGACTTTTTGTTTTTGTTAATGTTCAGGAGCCACTCAAGCAGTGTGCACCAATCCCAGCATCCCCTTCCCATTAATAAAACTGCTGCATCCTCAACCTCAGTTCACCCATCACCATGTCTATGTTAAAGCACAAATGTTTATAACACTGTCTCATAATGCTGCTGTCGGTCTTGGAAATTGTAAACACACTGTGGAGTTAATGTCGTGTACGTGCATGTTTCCATTTATTTTCTTTATTCTTTGTTTTGCCAGTAACATGGATGACTGTGAGAAGTTTGAAATTTCAGAGAACAGCGTGAACAAAGGAACAGAGCAGATCAGGCCTGAATGCTTTGAGCTGCTGAAAGTTTTGGGAAAAGGTGGCTATGGAAAGGTGAGACTAATGATTCTCTGGCATGGAAATGTGAATTTGAATCATTTCCCTCACATCTGTGCATCTTCATACCTGTACGTTGTCTTCCTCCTCTGTATTCCTCTTAAAGATGTAGTTTGAATTGAAATTTAGAATCAGAATGTTGTACCATTTTCTATAAAATGAAATTATAACAATTATTACAAAACATTACAAAAATATAATTTGTATATATATATATATATAATATAAAGTGTCAGGAACAAACTGTCATTTGCTTTTTGTGCTGGGGACCTGCTATCACATTGTCAGTATTTAGGGGATTAGATAGTTATCTTTAAAATGCAATTGTTGGGAATTTTTTTGCTGAAGTGTCTTTACATGTAAGATCTGTCATCGCAGAACCACCTCCTACTTTACCTACACATAGTATCAAATATTACAGTAATCAGCTGCATGTCATCTGCATATTCACTCCCGGTCAAATGTTCTAGAAGACCACACCAACATTTTTTTTGCATTCATTTTCATTTATGTCCAATGCTACAGTAAAGCTGTTCTTTAACCAGTTTTTTAATCCCTGGTAGAATGGCTGTTTTCTATTAAAATAACATATTTTTTTACTTTGGGTAGTTAACCACTAATCTGATGAAATTTCTCTAAAAACTGGAAAAATTGAGTTGTCCTAAATGTTTTTACTGGCATTGTACATTTGGAAATCTGTCTAGTCATGGTTTTATTCTGGTGTTAACATGTTTATTTAAACCAACCTGAAGAGGTCTGGAAATTTTCTGACGTACTTCTTTCTTAGCGTAACAATGAAAATCCACACCAAAGTTATTTTGGAATCGTATTTCACTTAACAAGCAAATGTATGACTCACACTTGTCTTGAAGTGGTTTTCTGTGTGGCTAAGATGTCATTTTCTGCAGGTTGAGGATTTCTCAGCATTTCAGAGTAATTACACTTCTTGAAAAAACACTCACAGACTCTTTCAACATTTATGCTGGTATACCTACACTCAAACAGAGACTTTAGTTCGGGTGAATCAGAGCAGTCCCTGTTTGGGCTGTAGTCAGAATTGTACAAGAATAACACAAGTTTGACCCAAACTAATGAAATAAAGCTCACTGTCTTTGAGCTTATTTTTTTAATTACTTTGTCAAACAAATACACATGCAACAGCTTCCAAACATCACATCAGTGCTAAAGAAGTTATTTTAATTTGTAAGGAATCTGAAAGTTCCCATCAAAGAAAGAATCTGGTTCAAGGATTGTGATGCTAGGGTATAACAAGCTCTGAGTGTATTGAGTTGAATAGACTGTCACTGTTTTCTTAGTTAGTTATGTTTGTAACAAAATGTTTTAGTTTTTCAGTGTTAGAAGACCATACACGCCTATAGACTAAAAGTGGAATAGTCACTGTGAACTTCATACAGGAGGCTATTCAACTTTAGTTTATTTTTTTTAGATTCCGTCAGCCACAAGACTTACAGCAAGCACTGCCACTTCTTCTAGCTACAGTTATTATAGTCATTACAGTAGTGATTATGACCCCATTGTCTCATAATGGAAAAGTGTTGATTTCAGCAAAAACGGAACTTAAAAGAGATAATAGTTTCTGATTAGTTCAAATGAAATGAAATGATTCAAGCTCAAATCATTCCTCCTACTTTTCCACCATATTTTTAAGATTTTATCCAGAATGACTGAATAGGCATGGCATTCTCTGTATTTTGAAATGTCTATGGGTTTCATGAATTTAATCTTTACAGGTGTTTCAAGTTCGGAAGGTATCAGGTGCCACCTCTGGGAAAATATTTGCCATGAAAGTTTTGAAGAAGGTGAGTGCCTTAGTTTTTTTACACCTATAATAAGCATACTTAACTGCCCCCTAGAGTACATACACAGTAATGTAATGTTAAAGCAGCAGTGTCTGAATGATCTAATTCACTTGTAAAGGAACACAAGTGGCAAACATCCATGGGGAATTAGCTCCTATAATACTCAGTTGACTCCAAAGTGTTATAGAGCTTAACAGTGTATAGAGTTTCACGTGCAAGTTATGTCACTATGTGTCGTTAATGGTTTCATACTGGTGCATTCAGCTCCAGCCAGAAGCAATGTGCAGACCACCCAAAATAATGACAGCAGGCTTTTTCCCAAGAAACCTCAAAGCTGCTGCCTCTGTTCAGCTTGGCCTCCTCTCTCCAGTTGACACAGAGCTGATGTCTGACTGTGCCTGAAAAGCCAGCTCATATTCCCCTGAAGTTTGAGGTTCTGGTTTTTACTGCAGCAACCATCATGGCATCCTGATCCCTCATTGTTGACACCAGCCAGTTGGGTGGAAGGTATTGCCAGAATGTTCTCACACACTGACTTTCTGTGCTTCTCTGTCTCTTGCCAAGGCGATGATTGTGCGTAATGCTAAAGACACAGCGCACACCAAAGCTGAGCGGAACATTCTGGAGGAGGTGAAGCATCCGTTCATTGTAGACCTCATTTACGCCTTCCAGACTGGGGGAAAGTTGTACCTCATCCTGGAGTATCTGAGCGGTGAGCATAGTGATGCCCAGTCAAACCAACGGCACAGATCTCAGGGCTCTTTATTGTCATTAATTCACATTCAACAAATCTCAACGGTGAATAACATTGGCCAACTGATTTTGTATGTGGTTAATGCAGGAGGAGAGCTGTTTATGCAACTGGAAAGAGAGGGGATCTTCATGGAAGACACAGCCTGGTAAGTCTATTTAGTAAACATGGCGTCAAGCAAGATCACACCTGACACGTTAAATCAACTTTATTTCATCCTTCACACAGTCACTGCTTCCGTGCTGCTCAGCTAAGTCTAGCTTGTTAACGTTTTTACACTTGTTTTTACTAGTTTATAGTGTTTAGTTGAACTTTTCCTGATAAATAATTCCCTAAGCTTTTTGTGACTCATGATTCACAGCAGGATCATGAATGCCAGATGATGCCTGATCATCAGTCAGATCTGTTGTCTTTGGAACACTGATGCTAACAATTACACATGTGCTGTCAAAGAGATTAACGGCAATAACATGGATTCTGACATCAGCACGCTGGAATATTTTAAATGTGCAAACAGCATCTTAAGAACGCTGAGTCCAGTGAGTTTTGTGAAAGCAGGCAGATGTGTGGTAGGTGTTTCTCAGGAAGTGTAAGAGTGACTTGGATCAGAAGCAAACACTTCTGACTTCCAATAATCCAAATTCCACGAAAGAGAGAGAGAGAGAGAAAGATTCACATTTTGACTTGACTTGCTCGTTTCTCTTGACAGTTTCTACCTTGCTGAAATCTCGATGGCACTGGGTCACCTGCATCAGAAGGGCATTATCTACAGAGACCTGAAGCCTGAGAACATCATGCTCAACAACAACGGTACATAAACCTGAAATGCTGCTCAGAAAACAACTTGGAAAGACCTGCATCGAGACTTCCACATGTGAACTCGGTTTTCCCTCTTTCTCTGGTTAACGTGATACTCAATCTATTGTTTGTTTAAAGTGTGGTTTCTCTCACGCTCTTGTTGTGGTTCTGTTTCTATGCAGGGCATGTGAAGTTGACAGACTTTGGTCTATGCAAAGAGTCCATCCATGACGGAACAGTCACCCACACCTTCTGTGGTACTATTGAATACATGTATGTCATACAGTCACGCTAAGTTCCGATTCTGTTGTGAAAACCTGTGGACATTGAGACTGGACACAGTGTGTTGAATCAGCTTGTGCTTCTCTCTCTTTCCTCAGGGCTCCAGAGATCCTGATGAGGAGTGGACATAACCGGGCAGTGGACTGGTGGAGTCTTGGAGCTCTCATGTATGACATGCTAACAGGCGCAGTAAGTTCACACTACTTCATCACATTGTAGCATTTTCAAAACTACTGCCATGCCCATTTTAAACCTGGCTGTTTGAAATGGGCTGTTTTCTTTTCCTGTGTTAATGTTCTGGTGCTACTTCAGAATTATTCCTTGACATGAGTGAGTCCTCCGCAAACAGTTGTACATTATACTGTCAGTTTTTATTGTTTGTGTGAGCTTTTTATAAACAGTCTATGTTGCAGAGTTAAGTAAAAAAAACTTCAGCATTCATTCTACCTGTTCTATTTAATGTGTTTTTCAGAAAATAAAACAGAATTTTCTTTCTTATCATTCTACTGTGTAGCTCATATATAAGTGAATTACTTACTTAACTAGCAACAAAACAAAATTTGTGCTTTTACCTTGAAGGCTAAAGAGGAAGTGATTTTATGATCAGCACTGATGACACTTGTGAATGTCTGTATCAGTCCCATAAAGAAAAGTAAAATATCAATTCTCAAAATGTTCTGGCTGCAGTTTGACCCACAGTTTGACACAGTTGTAGACCACTGCTGTAGTTTATCTGAGGACCTAGAAGAAGACGTGTTAATCTCAGTCCACAGACTGAAGGAACTCTGCCCCCACGGACTGCTATAGAGCGTGGTCGCCTGTCTATTAAAATTGTATTGATATTGAAAAAAAACCATTCAAAATCGTACCAAGTTTGACACTGCACTTCCTCGGGCTGATAAGAATACACAAGCTGTTAAGATGAAAAATTCTTGAGATATTTGATCCACAGACAGACAGACAGACAGACAGACAGAAAGACATTTGTGGAATTACTATGTAGATAAGCTAATTTATCACAACACTGCACCACGGAGAGGCCAATTGAAGAACGAAACATGTGCTGAACTATTGTTGATTGTCTGACATACTTTTCATAGCCTCCATTCACTGGTGAAAACCGAAAGAAGACGATTGACAAAATCTTGAAATGCAAACTCAGCCTTCCACCTTACCTCACACAAGAAGCCAGGGACCTTCTGAAAAAGGTGAGTTGTAAGATCCTTCCTCCTGCACTTTGCCTCACTGGCTGTGGTGTCCCTGCTAAAATATTTGGAGAAAAAAAATATTCTTTAAACTTTTCAGCTGCTGAAACGAAATGCCTCATTACGACTGGGGGCTGGACAAGGAGATGCTGCTGAGGTTCAGGTAAATACATTCACTGAAAGAAGAGTCACAAGTGTATGCATGCATTGTGTTAACAACCTGATCTGGAACATTACCTTAGAAAATGAAAATCCATCCTGATAAACCTGGTGGTCTGGAAATATTCAAACCTTGCTCCTGTCATTGTCTTTCGCAGGCTCATTCATTCTTCCGACATATAAATTGGGACGACCTCCTTGCTCGCAAAGTAGAGCCTCCCTTTAAACCTTTCCTGGTGAGTTTTTATTTTTTTAAATCTAATTTGATGCAGCAACGTCCTCTGTGACCTGTCCCTGCGAGAGGATTAACTGACCTACTTCATTTGGCAGCAATCGGCCGATGACGTCAGCCAGTTTGACTCCAAGTTCACCAGCCAGACTCCAGTGGATAGTCCTGACGACTCCACGCTCAGCGAAAGTGCCAATCAAGTCTTCCTGGTAGGTTCTGGACTTCCACAGAGAATTGTGGATCCAGCTGCTGTGCTGTCTCAACATCTGGCATACAGTTTGCACAAGGTTTTAATAAGATCAAAACAAGTTACATAAGGAGTAATTCCTGACAGGCCACTCAGCCACTCAAATATGATGCTTGATGAAGATGACAATAATCATTAGGTTGTTTTGAGTACAATAAGGCCACTTGCTGAAGCCTAACCTACCTCTGCCAAGGAGGTCAAATGTTTGCATCATTGTGTTGTAGTGGGAAGGTTTACACAAAAACCACTGAACTGGTTTCCATGACATTTTGTGGAGAGAGAGAGAACTGCTTGGGGGTATGTGCACAACTGAAGCCATGAGGTCTGTGTCTACGAGGATGCTAAAAACTTAATGGAAGATAGGGCGAGCAAGCATGCAGGTCATAGTGCAGCACACAGCTATGCAACGGAGCAAAACACCAAATTACAGATCTTATATTATATTAACATTGGAGTTAGTATTACCGTTTTTGGTTCATTATGAAAGATAGGCGAGAAAAATAAGAATATGGTGCCTGCCACAGTTATAATTAATGGGAAGCACTGTTTTGAAATAGCGAGTTGGGCATTAACCTTGTCAGAGGAGTGTGTTCTCAGTGACCTCTAGTTCATTTAGGTTTTGGGTCAGAAATGTTTAAATACATGCTGTTGTTTTTTGTTGGCATCACCTTTTCCCATATTGGAGTAAACGTGACTTGAAAGAGCAGTAAGCAGGAGTCACTGTTACTACCAGTTAACCTCAGAGAGTAATATGTATGTATATCAACGTGAGCTTAATGAAAGACTACCCACAGTCTGTATCCAATCACATTATTTAGAATTTTGTATAAATCTCTGTTAGCACTTACAACAAACAGGGATTTTGAGTAATACTCAATCAGTTTAATGGTCAAGTAAGTAAACTAAAGTTCAAATGTGACACTGATGGCAGTGAAGATGTTGATGCTGGATTTTAGATCTGGTTTTAAGGAAAGATAGAGGGTTTTTAATAGAACAGTAATGTGACATTTACTTTTGCCCTGTGCAGTTTTTTTGTTGTCAGCATACAAACAGAAAAAGAAAAGCTCTGGATATGATTTTTAAAATTTTCTTTTCAACAAGTAGGTCTTACGAGAATCGGTTAATTCTTCCCATCTGGTTTAGTCCTGTTTGTTTTCCTGGAAGCTTCAATCACTGTTCCACCACATTGCATGATCTGGTTTACTCAGCGTTTCATTTCTCATCAGCTGTGGGTTGTTTTCAGAAAGATGGTCTTTGAAGAGGTGGACTCAGATCACTCTGTTTTTGTCCCCCACCCCTTCCACAGGGTTTCACATATGTAGCCCCATCTGTGCTTGAGAACGTCAAAGAGAAGTTCTCATTCGAACCAAAAGTCCGCTCACCACGGAAGTTCCCAGGAAGCCCAAGAACACCTGTGAGGTAACAGCAAGTTGTTTTTCTCTCTGGTTCCATCAGATTCCACTGGTCATTTACAAGTCTCTCCCACAGCAAGGCTTCTCCACATAGATGACTCATTTGCTGACCTTGTAAACGTCGGCTTGGCCTAAATAAATCCATCCAGTGTAAATAAAGGTTTCTTTCCAATGCCACAACAGTAATTGCCTGAAAGCTTGAAAATAGCGGATCATCACATTCAGTATAGTTCAAGTATGGGAGGGGTCCGTTTTTGGAAAATGAAATCCTGGAGGTTACTGAGCAATTGGCCCTTAGCTCTAGTGTTTTTTCTATATCGTCAATGATTAATAACATCCAGTTAGAATTGTGCGACACACATATCTGCCTCTGTACATTAGAAAAGAACCTGTCCAAAAGCTCAGAGGTATTTCAAAGTTTCTCACATCTTCTCTCTCTCACAGTCCGGTGAAATTTGCAAGAGGTGACTGTTGGCCCAGGGGACCCAAGCTGACAGGCGCCCCATCCCTGCTGTCCCCGGGCTCTGGAGAGCAACCTATGGAAGGAGTGGAGCAAATGGACACATGCAGCAGCGGAACCTCAGAGGCCTCGGCGCCACTTCCCATCAGGCACCCTTCAGGCATCAATGCAGGGCTGTACAAAAAGCAGGCCTACCCCATGAACTCCAAGCGGCCCGAACACCTGCGCATGAATCTATGACGCTTGGCTTGCCTGGGAACATTAGGACTCTTCTAATTCCTCTCCTCCTCCTCTTTTATCATTTTCTTTAAAAGAGACTTGTAGTATTTTATTAAGAAATATTGACTGACAGTGTCAACGCAGATCACCAGCTCTTCCAGCTGCGCCTTCTCCTTTCTGGCCTCCAAAATCCTCCTGACTCAGCATGGCCTCCTCAGCCTGCCACTGATGCTCAGCAGTCAACCACAGTATTGTGGATTTTAAGTCTACACATCCCTGTTAAAAGTGCCGACTAAAAACTGCAGTTTTAACAGGCCTGTTTTTCAGACCTTTTCCATCTTTAATGTGACCTTTACCCTCTGAAATTCAAGAGAAAAACAAACCTTTTAGAAGAATTACCTGGTTGCCTAAATGTGCGTGACCTCTTATAATTAGGAATATGGCTGTGTTTATAATCAACCAATCACATAAAAACGTGGGTTAAATAGTTATTACACAGCTAACTCTGATTAACACTAAATAAGGTTCAGCAGTTCCCACTGAATTTTCCCGATGTCCTATTTGTATTCTATAGTTTAAGTCAGGTTCCACAAAGAGCCTCCAAAGCATACATCATGTTGCCGAAAGATATTGATCAGGAGAGAGACGGGTATGTAAGAATCTTTAAGGCATTAGCTAGAACGTGCTGCACAGAAGAGACGGTTAGCAACAAGATGTTTGTCCAAAATTGATGAGACAGGTAGAGGTCGGTCAGGGAGGCTGCCTACAGCAACGTTAAAGGATCTGCAGGAATTTCATCTAATATTCTTCATTTGCCTGCAGCTTTTTCTCACAGAAAATATCAGACCCTGGTTTAAAAAGCATGTTGATCTGATGAGACCAAAGTTTTGACTCAAAAACAAAGCAACACATCAAAGAACAACAAACCAAGGTTAGACTTGGGCCAGAGCGATCTGCTTTTGCTCCAACTTCTTTTGTCACAGGATACTTATTAGGCTCTTGAATAGTTTTTTACAGGTTATAGGTCACATCTAAGTTTTTTTTATATGACTCAACGTTAAACCGTGATGTGTAGACTCTATCCACTGTCGATGTGCAGTCAGTCTGAGGAGTGGTGGATGAGAGGTGCTTCTCAAAGGAAGTAGATTTGCTTGTTGGCTGGATATTACCAGCTGATGAACGGTTGTTACAGTGTACTCAGCTGGTGTTTTATGATTTACTGGTGCTCTTTTATCCTCACGTCTGGACCATGTTACTTTTAGTGTTTGCGACTTGTCGCCTCCATCACAATGAGAGAATTGGGTTACAGGAGGCTTTTATTTCTCCCTCAACATGCCAGACTTTTTTTTTGTTTTGTTTCTTTAATGATCACCTTGTTCTAAGAACTTGCAGGTTACATTATGAGTCGAAGTAGAAATATTCCTTAAAGGTTCCACTTGGAACACGGCATTCCTTTACATTTGAGGAAAATAATCACTTTGCCTTTGTCGCCGGAGCGTGTGGTGAGGTGGGGGGGGGCACGACTTACGGAAAAAGCAGCTATAAAGAGATGAGCAGTGAAATTTCATACGAAAGCCTCGGTTCACCACAATCGATTGTGCTGTCTCGGCTGACTGGAATGCTTTCTGCAGGAGGCCTGTCCAGAAGCACCATTCAGTTTCTTTGCGTTGAATGTAAACAGAGTTGAAATGCCTTTTTGCGCTTCGTTCCGATGACCCCTCCGATGCAGCATTATTTTTTACCTCTTTTACTCGTGCAGCCTCATCGTCTCGTTCAGAGTTATAGTGACAAAGAATCATGTCGACCTGGAACACGCTCCTCCAAATTGATAGCCCTGCGTTTCATTGATTCAGGCTGCATTCATTCATCCGTCTCATGTGTTCTGCATATGCTTTTAGTGCATTGACAGTAATAGGGCTCTCAGTGTTACGGGGATTAACCCAGAGGCATCTAAGTAAAATGTGTTCTAACTGAGATGTTTGACATGAAGCTGCATTTAGAGCCTCTGGAGTCAAAGCCATTTGAAACTGCATCTTAAAACAACCACACAGTCGTATGCAGATTTCCATGATACATATGAATTAATATTAATTGAATTGAATAGGTGTTTGAATGGCTCCCTAATATTTCTTTTGATTCAAATACTCGTTTTAAATTGACCAATTGCACTGTCTCAAGGAACCAAATCATTTTTTGCTGAATGACGACTGTAGAGGACTCACTGATTCTGCGAGGTTCAAAGATCAAGCATTTTTTTTCGTATCCAACATTGAATTCATTGCTGTTTTGTTTCCCACGTTTTTACTCAGATATGTTTTAATGTGTTTCTGTAAGTTACTTACATTTTTTTTACGTCGTTGAAGCTTGTGTTAAGTTCATATGTTTATTTAATGTGTCAGCCTGAGAGGATCAATCTTTTTCTTTTTACCATTCCGGTCAAACCGCAGTCACTCCACTTTTTACTCTGTTTGGTTTCTTTGTTTGTATTTATTTGAAGCGCCATTGTGTCTCCGCTGCATTGTTCACACTATGCAAACTAAGTATTTATTACGTAGTATTATTTAGATCAGGCAGCAGAATGTGTGGTCATTTGATTTAGCATTTATTTCAGAGTATAATGATAAAACACGTGAGAGTAGAGTATGGTTTTTATTTCCACACACTTTGTCTTACTTCCAGCAACCTCAGATGCAGCTTTTTTTATTCTATACTCAAGGACGGTGACCTTAATGTCTTACAATATTTATTGTGTAGTGGAGCATCATTCATTGAAGGTTTTCAAAAACACTTTGATATCTAAAACTTTCCTCGTTGAGAACTTGAAATTTATTTTGTCTTTTTTTTTTTGCAGTGCTTAAAGTAAGGACAGATATCGTGGATTAAAGAAACTGATGCAAAAACCAATGGGGCTGGCATTGTGCCTTTGCTGACAGATTCCAGTGTGTATGTACAGTATGATGTTTATTGTTCATGTGTGTGGAAAAGTTTGAGGTTGATCCATAAAGTTCACTTCCTGTTAGATCTCTCAAGGATGTGCATTTCTTTGCTTCACTAATAAATGACTGTCAGGTTAATGATTAGTAACTAACAATGATTCTGTTCTTGTATGTTTGAGATGCACACAAGAACAAATGTCATCAAGCTACTTTCAGGTGCAAAACTCCATCTCTGACTTGAACGAGTGTTTGAGTCGCCAATTAACATCATTTCTGTTGATTTACTCCTTTAGATAGAGCATGATAAACAAAGTCAAAATAAAAAATTAGCTCTGAGAACTTAAGAGGCAATGTTACGGAGAACAGGCAAAATCAAATTTTATTGTGCGCTTACGTTAATGACATTTAGGGAATAATTTTAACTGCTCTTTGTTCTTTTAAGTCAAATATACAGTGGGGTCATAAAGGCACAATCCCACATACGCAAATCCAAAGTAAACATTGTGGGTCATGTGCTTCACCACAGGAAGTGAATGTTTTATTCGCCTCCTCGCTCACACAGATTGAAGTTTACAGGAGGTTCGCCTCTGAAACATCTGCACATATGTGACAAGGCCCTAAGACGGCAACAGACTTTACTGTTAATAAACGATTGTCATTGTGCTTCATGAAAAAAGTCACACATCGTTCAAATGTAAATCTTTATTCAGATACTTTATGGATCAAAATGGATCAAAATAACAGTGAAATGATTTTTATACATAATAAAATAGATTCTCCCAGTCTTTGGTTTTTACAAAACGAGGCTGAGTCACCTCTATAGAAAAATAGTTTTTGTGTAAATCCTTTTTACCAGTTGAGAAAAAAACTTGTCACCAAAAGCTGAAAGCAAAAGGCAAACTGTTCATCATGTTGACAGTTTCTTTATCCTGGTCTTTGGACCATGTGACTTTACTGTGTGCTCTGCAGTGAGGTTGTCGTCAGCCCTTCAGTCTCACATTTGAACCCGTTAAAGCAGCGAGCGCTCCTGAGCAGAGATGTGCAGCCGCTTTGTTCTGCACATTTATTATTACAAATCACAAAAGTCCACAAATTTAGAAAACACTGGATAAGACAAGGTTAATGTTTTGCCTGTTTGCTCAAACGTATGATGGAGGAAACCTTTTTAAAATACTTAATTTTAAATATATTTTTCAATCTTTCCATATTTACAAGTAGACAACAATTTGCTGCCCCACAAAGAAAGTTTATATTAAGATTAAAAGGTATATAAAAGCAACACAAGGGGAAAAAACTTAACTGAAAAATCAAATGATCAACCTTCAGTTTGTCAGAGAGGAGGAGGGATGTGCTGGTAAATAAGGCAGGAACATGTCTCCTGCAGGTGAAAGCTATGTGCCTGCACTGACCCCGGCAGCCCTCAGCTGATGAATCAAACAGTGTGTACAACATTACTTGTCAGTGGGGTTTGACAGGCGAAGAAAAAAAATCACATTAAGTACAAACTAATAGCAATGTCCCGCCCCCTCCTCCATCAGTAAATCTGCAGGTGTGGAGATGTGGCTCCGTCCCTCCACTTGTAGACTTTCTCTGTGATCACAGTGCGGCAGAGAGGGCAGCTCTTCTCCCGGTTAAACCACAGAGCGATGCATTCGTCACAGAAAATGTGCTGTGCAACAGAGAAGCAGCATCGTGTTAGTGCGTCCATACTGCTCCTGTGGTGTCATCCAAGTGTCCGTATGTTTTTAGCCTTAATGTCTGTTGTTATCCTCCTAGCCCGTAGCCGCAGTCACGTCCACATGCACACACCGCACAAGCTTGGGCCCCTTGGACGAGAGCTTGTGCGGTTGTTTCATTTTTTTTTTACGTGTGAAGAATCAGTCACCATTTACTTTAATTGTATTGGACTTGGCTGCAACGCTGTTTACCCCTGAAACTCCTAAAGTGTGTTGTGGACTCAAACACTTCACCCACCCCTCCATCGACACAGCGGTGAGTAGATAACGAGTGAATTTTCATTTTTCTGTCAACTATCCCTTTAAGTAATAATTCGCTCCCCAGATAAAATTCCTATAACTTCAGTCATGACAAAGCCTGAACAATGTTGTGATACGACAGACCTTGTAGTTTGGTCTTACCTGACAGAGTAGAGCCCGAGGCTCCCTGTAGTCTCCCTGACAGATGGGGCAGACATCTCCCGCCTCGCTGCACTGACTCCTAGTGGCTGCTGTGCCCGTGTGCTGAGGAACAAAAGAGAACTGGAATTACCGCCCTGCGGGGCAGATTCAGTTTACATTAAAAAAATTCCAGATTCATGGGGTCACTGTGACCTTGACTGAAATCTAATGAGAAATTCCCAAGAGTCAGATAGGAAATGTCCTGTTCAAGAGGCCAAAGATATATTTTGTGAGGTCAGCATGACCTTGACTTTGACCTCAAATCTAATCGGGTGATCAGTGAGTCTAAAGGGGCCATTTGTGCCAAATTTGCAAGGTTTCTCGTAGAGTTCTTAGATAAACGCATTCACATGGCAAAAAATGGGGTTTGTGAGGTCATAGCCGCCTTGACCTTTGTCAACCAAAATCAAATCCAATGAGTTCTAGTGCCAAAGTTGAAAGGATTCCTTCAAGGTGTTCAGTTCATCCTAGAGTCCAAGTGAATGATGCACAAAATTTGAAGAAATGCCCTCCAGGTGAATATGAAAACATAACGCCCCCGGTCACTGGCTGTCGTCGGTGCAGAGGCATGAAAAAAAAACCTCAACACAGCTGGTTACTGACTCTGAACATTAACTTGTAAATAAAGTTGTAAACACTTACCTCGCCATTCAGACATATCCTCACAGTTTTAAATAAAGACGTCCACTGTCCATACAATCCTAAAAGCTGCATCAAAGAGAAAAAGAACAAATCGAATTAAACAATTTGAACTGTTAATTAAACGCCAGTTTTTTCTTGTCAAAGTGTCACTTTAAAAGTGAATACAACACAGTTCTACGGCTTCATCCACACTCATTCATTTCACTTTTGCTTAGTTTTCACCTGGTGTCCAAACTACTGACCCTTAAATGGAAACCTTTGAAAACACTAGTTCTACGTTTTTTGTTGGAAAACTGAGATGCTATGTGTTTTCAAGTCTCTGTGTAAGAACAGATTATTTCTGATATAGAGCTTAAACACTCGTCTGGACAGAAATTGTTTTGGTTTTAAAACACTAGAATGTTTTAGGTGTGGCTGTAGCCTCCATCTGTAACATTCCAGTTATCACACCTTCAGTATGAGGTAGACCAAAGCCAGCAGGACCCCTAGTGTGAGTCCAAGGGCCCCGTCAGCCTCCTGGTAGGTGACCAGGTAGCGGAACCACAGTGAAACTGGAGCCATGGCCTGGTGCACCTGACCCAGCTCCTCAGTCAGCATCATCCACCTCCCCTGGAGACATTAACAAAAAAATCACACTAGAGGACGACTGAGCAAAAACAGCATTATAGTGACAATTGATTTCTTTCATCAAACAGCCCAATATTAAATCCACCAGTCTTACCTGGGTTCTGTATGTCACTAGTGAAGATGGCAGCAGCAGAATAAGGCACTTTATCCCCATGAAGAGGAACTTAATGATGAAATTGGTGATGCCGATTGCCCATAGAACCTCCCAGAAACCCAGCGGCTCAATGGTTGGGCTGAGGAAGATGAGGCTGCAAGGAAACCGACATTTAGGTTAAGTTCTATTCCCTCAAGCACATTAAACTGCTTCCCAGGCTTAGAAGTTTAAATAAAGTGCAGTTCAATTAGGCCAGCATATGCATATAGGTCAATGTGACAGAGTAAAGGTGTATCTCTGCTGATTGCACCAGATGAGTTGGACCTTACCACTGGTAAAGTGTCTCAGTGAGAAAGGAGTAGTAAAGCAGAAGCGTTGAAAAGATCAGGAAGAGCAGCAGCCATATGCACTGTAGCTTTGAGTGATGATCCTAAGGGTCCAGACGGATAAAAACACAGTTTAGGATTCTAACAGCAAAGAAGATCTGCATCATGAATCAATGGCTTCCATGCTCTTGACTTACCTGAAGAAAAACTTGCGTTTGAATACTTTTATTCACATATAAAAAAGTTGTGAAGAGGCCAACCCCAACCGCTAGACCTGAAAAACAAAGAAAGAATTTGATGATCTTGTGTTCACTGTTTTTAAGAATGCTCTCTGCATAAGTCGTACCCACCAAGAGTATGTTGGATGACCAGTTTAGCACACAGTATAATGAGGAAAGGAAGACTCTTTTGGAGCCAGCGGAAGAGACAGCGAAGCTCAGACAGGGAGGAGCTGGGTTCTCCCGAGTCCACATCAGAGTCAGGCGGGTCAAGCTCTGGCTCCGAATTGGAATGATGCTGCGCCCGATTATGTCCGTGTGAGTGTGAATGGGGGTGGCTGTGGAAACTGACTCTGGACCTCCTGGATGATGATGAGCCGCCACCAGACTCCACAGGCTCGCTTGTCATGGGCACCCGCACCTCGTGGCTCTCAGGGTTAGCAACAGCTGAACCAGAGCCCAGCGTCCTTGTGAGAGGACCTTGTTGCAGCGTCAGGGGCAAACCGTTTCCTGCATGAGCGTCCCGCTCGCTTGAATTGGGCTGCATTACAGTAGGAGACTCCCTCAGTATCAGTGCTCGTCTGGAATCACTCCTTTCACAGAGAAGACAGGACAAGTCAATGTATCTGTACAGCACATTTAAAAACAACAAAGTCAAAGTCAGCTTTATTGTCAATTTCTGCAATACATACACAGACATATTGAGGAATTGAAATTTCTCAGACTCTCGGTCTCCCCATCAACACAGATTTAAGTAAAAAACAGTAAACACTGAATAAAAAGTCTTAATATAAGAAAATATTAGCAAAATATTAAAGAAGTATAAGAAGAAAAGGTACAAAATATTAAATATAAAACAGAGGTTGAACAAGGACAGTGCTATACATCGCTTGTGTTGTTTTATGTTGTGTCTATGAAGGACAAAGAAATGTTAAAATCACTTTGAGGAGGTCTGCTACAAAATCATAGGAGTCCAGCAAACACACCAGTGCTCCCTCTGGGAGAATGGCGTGTTCCACAAACCCACAGAAATCATAAACCATCAAAATCTTGTACTCTCTGTGAATCACAGTGTCAGTCGTGACTCTAATTCCTTCATTCCCTCTGCGTCAGGACACTTACTGTTTGTGACTGTTTGTAACACAGCATCAACAGAGATCACTGTGTTGAGTTAGCTGGAGTTTTGTTCGCTAACTTTAACTGACTAGATTAGCAGTTAAAGGTGCAAACGTTAGCTCATCCTGATCGTCTTAATCTTTGTATGGGTGTTAATAAGAGTCCCACCAGTCTCTGATCACACACCACACACAGAGGAAGGAACAGATAGCAAACAGCTGACCGCTTCCTAACCAGCACTGGGCTGTGGTTAGCATTAGCAGCTAGCTGTAGTTTGCTCCCGGGTCACACAGACGGCTGTGAAGGCTGCGGCTCACCTGTCATTCTGCACCCGGAGTTTCATGGTAAGCTCTCGGTCCCCATGTGATACAGCGTCCGAGGCGCCAAGCTAAACCAAACTAAAGGGAACTAAAAAGAAAACCAAGTTTCTTAGCTTCCGGGCTAAATCATAATCTGCTCATTCAGACGCCCGGACCTTGTTTACGGCTGCAGACGTCACCAACTTCTTCTGGTGGAGTTTTCACGGCGTATCGGATGTGACGCGCTGCGATACCTCCACCTAGTGGGGGGTGTTCAAATGACACTCATGTTGGCTGGACTATTAAAGAGATAGTTCACAGAAAAATGAAAATCATCTCATTATCTGCTCACCAACATGCTGATGGAGGGGTGGGTGAAATGTGTGAGTCCACAAAACACCTCTGGAGTCTCAGGGGTAAACTTTGTTGCAGCCAAAAATATTTTCATGAATGAAGTAAAGCCTCAGTTGCATTAAAATAAAAAGCACACGTTTAAATCATGAAGTCAGGGATGACTGAATTTCATTTAGCGGCTTCAGCTTCAGGCTCCGTGTGTGTGGACACTGTCATTGTTTATTGGGACGCTGCGCTAGACCTACATGATCAGGGACACATCGCACATCATTAATATAAATTAGAAAAGAAAACATGTTTTCTTTTGCTTCAGAGAACATGAATGAAACAAGGTTTTGCTTTCCATCAGCATCAGCTCTTCAAATAGCCAACTACTAATTAAAGTTCAGTCAGCAAAATGATTTCAATATATCCTAAAATGGAGCTTTTATTTTATTCAACTGCAGAAGGTAAAAGGCCTTTACTTAAGGCATTAAGATATAGAAGGGACTTCATTTCTACTTCCCTGTGTGTGATCCACTCTCATTTGACTCTCAGCCCTGCCCCCCAGCCTCACAACATACAGAGGTTTACACCGTACATCCAGATGTGTTCAATGATCACAAACACTGCTGTAGACACTCGCTGCCCGTATTTCCACTTATGGAGACAGGTTTCCTCTAAATCTTTGCTGAAGTCATTGATCGTTTTAAACCTTACCAGCCATTTCTCTTTTATTTGTTTGTTTTTTTAATTGGATGTCAGGAGCCCTCGGCCCGTGTCATGAATGTGATGCGGTGGCATCACTGAGGTTTAAACCCTGCCTACCATCAGTCTAACCTTCACACTCCACTAAGGAGGCGTTGAAAGCTTTTGATCCAGCCCCATGGGACCTCAGATATTCTGGCAGCCCACAGCCCGGCTCACCACTGAGCCTCAAGTTCATAGTGTTTCTCCTTTAAGGCTTTCAAAGCCTCTGTGGGAGCTTGTGGGTTGATGGTAAGCACTATTGATAGGTCTCTCAGTCACAATAGTGACATATGAATGGGACATGTGGCTGTCATCAGTCCACTCTTTCCCACAGAGGAGAGACTGGTAACTACTGGTCAGGAACCAGTCCTCAGCTGTCCCAGGACGGCAGCTCATTGGTCAGCCCACGGACTAGAGCTGACTTTAGACCAAGGGTTCCTTTGTACAGAGTTCACTCTGTCTGTATTTGTTTCACTGAGGTTTTAGATTTGTTTCCGGTGAGGGACTGTTGAGTTATCTGTGCCTTCACCACCAAATTTAAAATTTGAACCTTTTTTACATTATTAAATATGGATATATGTGTGTGTGTTTGTATATATATATATATATATATATATATATATATATATATTTACCTCAGTATAGTGACAAAGTTCTTTGAATCAGATACAATTCTTCTTTGAATTCAGATTTTCTGTTTGATTTTCTTCTCCTTGTGAAAGCCTCAGTGATGTACTATGTGTGAACAATAGAAGTGTCACCGGGTTTCCATTTTTTCTGCCAAGGTGTCTTATTAAAAGCCAGCCAATGAGCTGACCTCAGTCACTTGTCCGTCCGTCAGCGAGCTGCAGGTGTGTGAGAGGTGAAGCTTTGGGCCTGGTATTGGTGCCAGCCCAGCTTCCCAGCTCCATGGACGCTCCACCCTTGTTGCCTCTCATACTGAAGACACACCTGGAGACTATTGTCTCATTCAGAGCTGATATGAGCAGGGGGCGCTCAGTGGCTCACTCTTGATGCACTTTATCCAGGTTGGCAGGAACAGGTTAGTCTCCTGAAAGACACTTTAAGTAACCTGTCACCTGGAGCCTGGATCATCTGTTTGAAGGAGACTTTTGTGCTGGACTTCCCCACAGGGAAGATTTGGAATTCCACTGAGGTACAAGTTACTTTCTAGTGTAGTTGTTCAGTTGTACTTGTGTGTAAATGTTTTCCTGTGATGTGCAGCTGTACATTTATGTGCTTCTTTCCCACTTCCTGAGTTGTGAAGCCTTCAGTGTGTCCATGTGCTTTGAAATGGAAAAAACATGGTGGTGGTAAAAATATTGTTTTTATGTGTTTGAGGCGTGTAAACAGTTATGATATTCACATGATGATGAAGAGCAAAGAAAAAGGATCAGGTCTGACAGACATATTTAAAGTGTGTGCATGTTAATCATAAATAAAAACATCAATGTTGGTGCCTGTGAGAGATTGACGCAAGTGCCAAAAATATAACGTTTGCCAAATTCACATAAAACTACTATTTAGAGCTGATTGTAAACTTGTGTTAATTGTTCTATAAGTGATGACATCAGCCACTCACTCCGCAACTTGTGTACTAAAATTTGTGTCGACTTGTTGTTCTGACTTGAGGAGGCCTTCACATGAATTTTTCCAGTCGGGACCTCGTTATCCTGATGCCACCTGAATGCACCATATCATTGGTTTGCATTATGCAGCAGTTTGACCTTGAATATCCAGAAGGTGCTTGAAGTAACACTGACTGTGGAGCCAGATCTGGGTTGCCAGATATTTTGCTGTTGAGATAAATGATGCAAAATAAGTTTTGCACAATATGCTCTAATATATTTTCAAATTGTTATCTGTTTTACAGTTGTCTTAGCCACTGCTGATTTGCCTATGCTACTCTGCTGCTACCTGTGCTATGATTCTATTGGTGATTTCATATTATACCAGCAGTGTGTGAATGGATCAGATTTAAGTTGATGTCAACTTCCAGGGTGATTTGACCCCAGCCACTTATCTTTTTCCCTTTTTATCCCAGTTTCCTTGCCAGACTAATCAGCTGGTGTGATATTTGTGCACCCTCTCTTGCACTGCATGTGATAACTGTGTACTTCTATGGTATTGCACAGTATAAAGTTCCCAAAGCCTTTGGCTACATTATATATACTGTATATACATTTTGTGTATATAATTGCCCACGTGAAGTCAGAATCCATCTCCCTATGTTTTATTTCTAGTATTTTGTCTTTGTCTAAATAAATCTTCCTGTGGATCCTAACCCAGAGGTGGCATCGTCCAACGCTCACTGGGGCTCACCATGTTGCCTTGGTTACAGGTGGATGTTAAGGTCAGGAGGAAAATGGATCATTAATCCATGAAAGGGAAAAAGTTAACAGTCTTTGCCTTGGCTTTCATAGGAATAAGGGCTCGTTTAATTTCAGTTTAATGGCCCCAGCACGCCGTCACCAACAGAAACCCTGAAACCACAGAATCCCCCCCCATCACAAATCTCAGTTTAACCCCAGGTGGTTCTGTCTGCATGTATCTGAATGCATGTTCAGTACTGCTCGGGCCTGTGTTGCTTAATGATGCTCTGTCTCTTACAGGTGAGTGTCTGGTGTTGAACTGTCTGAGGAGGGAGCATCAAGTGTGGCACATCCTCAAGTGTCTTTAAGATCAAGGTTTGTGATCAATGTCCAACACCACTTCTCTTGATTTCAGAACAACTGGCGCTTTTCTTGCTGCATGTGGCTAAACATTATCCTTGAACCCTGCTCCTCCGTCCATGGTCTTTCTTTATAAACCTGAGCATTTCACTTGCTCTCAGATCTAAAATGAAACGTCTGTCGTCCTCACCCAGGACAAACTGCTCAAAGAGGGATCTTGTCCTGAATGAGTGGCTCTGAACACATCCTGGGATTGGTTGGTTGGTGACGCTCTTATTTCACATTCAAGTGGTGTTGGAATAATTAGAAAAATTAATTCTTGACTGGGAAAATGTGTTTCACGAGTTGCAGAAGTCATCACTTATAAAATCATTTTACATTCGACTCTAATATATTACCTTTAATGTGAACTTGTCAAATTTTCACTTTCTTTAGATGCAAACTTTAGTAACCTTTTTAAACCCTAAATTGGTGTGTGTGTGTGTGTGTGTGTGTGTGTGTGTGTGTGTGTGTGTGTGTGTGTGTGTGTGTGTGTGTGTGTGTGTGTGTGTGTGTGTGTGTG